ACCGATTCATCATGGTTTCTGGACGTTGTGCCGAGTGCTGACTCGCACACCTACAGTCTCAACTTTGGGATAACCCTCTTTCGGCTTCGGGAGGGTCCAATTTACGAATGCCTTGTACATGTCTTTTCAGGCCAACTGAAATGTGCGCCAACATCAAAATTCATTAAAGCTTACATTAAGAAAGGTGGCCATTTGCAGTTGTTCTTATTTATTATAACCTAATTCTGTTATTTTAATGAGACACCCCATGATTTGTTTTGCTAATTGGCGTAATGCTATAATGCCTGACAATGGTGCTGAAAGAAAATCTTTTATGCGACAATCCAGCCAGGCGTAATCACAGCTATCGCAAGCTCCAGTTTTGAAAATTAAAAATTATTTCTTTTCGACTATTTTCACACAAAATAGGATGTAACAAAGTATTATTTATTTTTCGTATTCAAGTAGAGTTTCGAGACTACCAGTAAATCATTGATATGAGATGTATTCACACAATTTCGTTTCAGGTGATAAAGGACTGGTGGAAGAAGAATTTTCCCACAACGATATGAGTTTCACATTGCCTTGCTTCCCAAAAGTTCTTCTCATCCAGGCTGAAGTGGACTGCAGTTTCGACCTTGTCCTGTGAAGGAAGGCTGGGCCTCATGGTACCACTCACCTAAACACGCCTTAGACTTTACTATATTTCAATACGGAAACGCAACTTTGACCAAATCTATACACTCTCTTAATGCATCAAATCCGCTCAATCGTGAGCATCTGAAGCAGGCAAAAGTGGTTATGAGAGATAAATATGATTGCAAGCGACCCCATTTGTTGGTTGAAATAACTCGAAATATTTTTTTTTCTAAATTATCGTTGCTGGCGCTGATGATGTCTGTCATGGTGGGAGAGACGAAAGTTCACCACGGATGGATCGAGATTGCGGGAAAGCACACCAAAGATTCGATTGCAAATGTTCACTTTCAACTTTCAACTTTTACGACCAACTTTTCTCTCGCAGTGAAAGATCCCCTGTGTTTAAGTTAGTTAAGTAATCTCAGAAACTAAGCTCTAATTTTCATAAACTATCACCTCCGCGGCCTAATTTACCGGCAAATTTCATTGATTAAGACCACGGTGTTAACAGACCATTCATCTTGCATAGCCGGGTTCGTTCTTATTGTAGCCCCAAAAAGCGATTTTAGAGCTGCATAGCAACTAAAACCACGGTAACTCGTATGAAATGATGAATTAGCGATAAGTGGATTTGTTAACATTTGGATGAGTAGGCCTGAAAATATAATTTAATTCAACTTGGCCTCGCTGGGAAAAAGGTATTCTCATCTAAGCTGGACTGCAAGTTCGACTTCGCCTGTACCTCATCAGCACCCCCGACGGGAATCGAACCGGTGTGGTGCGGCATACAGTTTCTACATGCGTCACAAAAAGGCCAGCCGGGCCTAACTCATACTACATTTATGCTGGGATTGTCAATGAAGCAAACTTGTATTTCTATGAAATGTATCCACCCTAATTCTTTTGAGGTGATGAGGGAGTGATAGATGAACTTGCCTACACTCATATGAGTAGGTATCAATTTTCCAATGAATTTCACTCAGACTTACTTCCCAAAAGGTATCCTCATCCAGACTGGTCTGGACTACACTTTCGGCATCGCTCGAACGAGCATCACCAGCGTCGCCAGTGGGACCCGAGCCTGGATTGAAATAATGCAATTCGTACTCTCGGCTCTTTAACAACCACGCCGGAACGCCACGAGTGCTCTCGTAGGCCACAAGGCGGACGTGAATTTCACGGTCGAGTTGTTCATATTTCACCTTTGTGATGGGGGAATTGTTGATGAAGCAAAAATCGTCTATCTACTTATAAAACGAAAAATGAGTAGTGTGTTCGGATGCTCTAGCAAATACAACTTTGCCTCATCGACAGTCCCATCACAGAAAGTGAAATGAGCACAGATTGGCCTCCCTTTAAAGTCGCATCGGCCTTGATTCACCGGCGCCCGTGACAGTGTTTGGTAGTGGGTAACGTGTCGAGACTATACGAAACACTATCACAAATCGGGTTCGAGTCCGACTGTGGGTGCTAATAAGACCCAGACGCCATCGAAACTGCAATTCAACCCTTCCTGAATGAGACTACCCATTCGGAAGCAAGGTTATGTGAGAGTAAATGAAAATGGCGAGCCTACGCATAACATTGTGGGAAAATACTTTCATAGTCCATCATCAGCTCAGACGAGCTATGGTAAATACACTTCATGTGTATGGGTTAGAGGTAGGCTAAAAAACCGAACTGTAAAACAAACTTGTAATCAGTAGCTTTTGATGCTATCAGTAGTAATTGAATAGCATTATATAATGCTTACTGCCTGACTGACGCTCGTCTAAGTGTGACGTAGTGGTGGCGTATCGCTGCACAAGTCGGGTTCGACTCCTGCTGGCGGTGGTAATCGAAATTGCTCTCCAGCTCGAAGAGAAGGAGAAAAACTTTTGGCAAGCAAGAGAAATGCAATGGCTTTCTCAGGCCTACTCATTTGATTATGGGAAAACTAAACAATCACTGTCCCATCAATTTATGTGGCCCAGAGTTGATAAGTAGGTGATACAGTACCAGTAGTATCGAAACCAATCAGGTCCTCGATAAAACTGTGACCGAGTCCGCGTTTTTGCCAAGTTTTACAACTAATAGTTTCTAAGGTTGATCCGATGCCTACCTTAATCTGGGTCAAGAGTATGCACAGATCTTGGACTGTTGCCTGGTTGAGCGAGATTATTATTCAACATAAGGTCCAATTAATTCACGTATTTCACACAACCAACTTTTCTTTCGAAATGAAAAGTAGAATCACACTAAATCACCAAGGCACTTCTCGAAACACTGTTTTAATTTCATTTATGCAATGACTTAAAAGTTCTTAATCATATAATATTAACAGTATTGCCAATTATCATTGCCTCATTCACTTTATGCGTCCAGGAGTGAACAAATCGGGACCAGCATTTGCATATATAATCTCATCAAAGTATATTATAGTATTCGAGTTACGAAGAGAAACTTGGTTTCAATGAATCTCCTGAGATTACAT